ATATATATATATATATCTATATATGTATAATCCTTCTCTGCAGATAGATTCTGAAGATTTGTGGTGGGATTTATGATTTCTTCATGCCTGAGTTGTCTGGTACTGTGGACAGCACCAGTTTGAGGACTGTGCAGTGACTTGTGTAATATGAGTCTTGTTTGTGACAGGGAGACACATAAGGAACAGTGTGACATGGTATTCTCTGCAGAGAGGCCTAAAGATGGCAGATTCAGAACCAAACTTGGTTCCGTAAATGTCCTAACCTATGCTGGAAGTACTCAAGCATCTGGTGAGGCGTGTACTAAGACAACAAATAGCAGTACCTATTTCTTTAGAAAAAAGTGGAGGAACAATCTGTCAGGCTAGGCAAGGTTTTGAAAAGACGTGTAAAAAAATTCCACCTGACCATCTACTTTTTTTTTTTTTCTTACCCCACAAATCGCCGTTGAGACATTCCATGTATAATACAAAGTGTTTCGTTGCTGTTTCATGTTCTTGTTGGGGGAATTCCTACCCTCGGGAACTGCTACTATCAATGTAGCTAAATGGAATAGCTGTGTAAATAGCGTCTCAGAAGATTTCTACTGATAATTGTTTGATGTTCTTGTTTGATGTTCTCTTCCCATTGTGAAGGGGGGAATCATTTCTAAACTCCCTTTCTGGGTAGCTACCAAAAAAAAAAAAAGTACTGGATTATGGTCCTGTGTGACCCTATGTCCGTTAAGCCCGGAATATGAGTGCCTTTAGCAAGGGTTAGCATTTCACAGAGAAGAGATGACCGAGTGATTGCTGTTGATCATGGTTCATAAAACAGGAGCTTGGAATAGCAAGGGTCTGTGTGGGTGTGTTCTACTTTTGTTGTTGTTGTTAATGCAGTCTCAATTTGATAGTAAAACTTGATTGATCAGGAAACATACACCATGAACACGAATCCAGGTGTCTCAGGCTGGCGGTAATCACCTCGATGTGCTACTTTTGTATTTAGTGAATGGTGGTGTGGTAGACTAGGGGAGCTTGATGCTGATGTTTGGATAAATTCTTTATTCCAGTATCTTTTTCCAAAACACTTTTTTGTCTTTTTCTAGAGGAGAGAGAGAATGACATATTTGCAAATAAAGTATATTTTGAACCACTGGCACGAAAATTATTGTGTTAATTCATCTCTGCTTTAAAAGAGGTATCTTTAAGTCAAGTTTGAGGCCTTTAAAAATTTCCTTTCCTCCAATTAATTTAAAATTCTAAATTGCCCAAGTAGCTAGAATCTTTAAAACATAGTTAAACTTATTTTTTATAGAAATACTTTTTTTCATGAAAAATTTTAAACATGTCAAAAATAGAAAATGCTTTATGAAATACCATTAGAATCTGCTTTTCACATTTGACGCACTTACATTTCTATCTATCCATATCTCTCTCTCTCTCTCTCTCTCTCTCTCTCTCCCTCCCTCTCTCCCTCCCCCACCCTCCCTCCCTCCCTCTGTTCATTTATCAGTCCTTCAGGATAGGCATTGCAGTGTATGTTTCAAACAGCACTTCTCCTAGGTGCATTAATGAAGGTTTAATGTTGATTTAAATATGAATATTTTTTGAAAGCAGTGTGTGAAGTTGAGATCCTGAGCCAGTTGATACCCTTGTTTGTTCTCCTGTGGACTACAGTCTTCCAGTTTCTGTTTTTGTGAGTGCTCAGAGTGAAGGAAGACAACTCCTTTCTCAAATGGAAATTTTCTGGAGTTGGTTATTTTAAATGCTTAATTGTCATCAATTTTCAAGTTTCACTGTAAGAGTCTTTTCTCTTTACCCTTCTTCTGCTGGTGGTATTTTTGCTCAACTATGCAGCTTCTTCAGAAAACTGTAAATTACAGATTGGGGTTCATGAAATCGGTGAATACCTCATCTTACCAGTTGCTGCTTTTCTTCTTGTTGTCACTGCTGTCAGCTGCTCTACCAGAGGTAGAGGGGGAGGAAAGAGTCAAACCCATGTATGATGAGCTGTTTCAAACAACCTGAGAACCGTTTCAGTAGTTTAGATAGTTGAAAGTATTAATTTGTCACAGGAATTTGATTTCAGTTGCCTGAACATTGTAATTACCTATGCTTCCTCTAGCTGTAATTAGCAAAATTTAAAATGATTGTACTGTACAATGAGGTGTTGAAATTGTGAGCCTTAGTAACTATATTTAGCTTTACTCTAGTGATGTTTAGAATCTTTTGGACATATACCTTTAATTTTACGTTCCCTTTTTGTGGATCAGTCTGCAAAATCTAGGCAACTTCAGGTCATGACGATGTAGTGAGTAAAGCTGAATCGGAAATGAAATTTAAATATTCCTGAGCTATATTCCTGTGCTTCTTGGATATAGTTTCTGGTTTCTTAAACAAGCGAACACTTTGTTTGGACCTTTAAAAGGAAGATAGGTAGTTTTACTACTTAGATGTTTATTTTTAGACATTTCACAGTTGTTTTAACTTCACAATATTCTCATGGCCATAGCACTTAAGTAAGCCCATTGCAATTGCTAAAATCTCAGTGTACTGTTTAAATACCAACAAGGGTTTATCAGATTTCTTTTTACCTTTGAATGGCCTTCACGATTCTTTCATCTCTATGTAAGTGCTTAAGTGACCCCCTCACTAGTGAAAATAAATGTTCTGTATCACTGGTTATATGTGTATGCTCTATATGAAGTGTGTGTGTTTTTTTTTTTTTTTTTTAAGGAAAAGTACATATTTTGGAATGAGTGCTGTTATCCTAGGACAAAGCATATAAAGTTTATTTCTGTGCTGCAGATCTGACATGTATGGGAACAAAATTCTTTTCGGAGTGGCTATTGTTTTGCCTTCTCTCAGTTCCTCAGTGTCTTCCTGTGGTATTGTATAAGCCAGTGTGTCATTTTGTATGAATTTCACGTTGATTCAGCATTGTTTGGTGTTCGCTTTAAGGTACCTCTGTTGACCCCGTGACCTGGCGTGAGTGGGCGTGTTTGCTTGGAAATGCCTTACTAGAGTACATCAGGCTCTGCTTCGAAGCAGCGCACGTCTGCTGGGACGGAAACAGTCCACGGGTGTGCGCTCCAGACCCACAAGCGGAGCTGATTTTGCGTTCACTGTAAAGGTTGCTTTTCGATGCGGTTATTTTCTTAAGAATAAAATGATGGGAAACCAAGGGAGACATTAGAACCCTTCGTGAATGGCATGACTTTTTAAACTGCTTTTGCTACTTTATAAGAGCTATATCTTTGGTAAAAGATACAGCTAAAGATAAAATGCCAGCCCAAATTGTATGAAATCGAGGTTGTTTCATAAAATATTCTTTAAATGTCACACAGGGGTTTTCGATCTTTGTACGCTACGGGAGCGATGTGCCAGTCACTGCTTTGTAAATCTGTTTTTGTTCTGGGACTGCAGAATGACAAACGTGTCATGGGATTAAAACCAATCAACTGTGAATTGTGAAACTGAAATTGCTCTTTTCTTTCTTTTCTTCAGCGTATTGAATCTAGAAACCTGAAAGTTAGTTAAAATTTATACCGCTTATGTTGATGGCTCCTTTTGGCTGTGTATCCTCACTTATGTACTGATTTCTGATAAAGCTTGATGTTATTATAACAGGCATTTTGTGTTCAATTTAATAAAGCAGTTTCGGAGTCTTGTCTGAAAATGGTTTGGTGACGAGTTGGAGATCGAGGCCGACGGCCCATCGTCAGCGCCGAAGTTCATTTCCACGCTGATTGTTGGGGAATGTGGGGTCCTCTTCCTCAGTCTCCGCCTCATCTGCCCTGCGCTCTGAGCTCACGCAGAGCCCTGGACTCCCGGGCTTGCAGCGGAGCTGACCCAGCTGCCCACGCTGTCTTCCCCTCCCTGCAGCTGGCTCGGGGCTGCAGTGAACTGTCAGTTTTGGTGATCTGTTTTAATACTTCTCTTCCTTTGAATTTGAGAAAAGCTGGCCTTCTCAGGTTGACAACCATTGCATCTGGAAACAAACACGTACTAAAAAGCTAATCTGTTAGATGTTGTATATGTAAAATACTCTTACAGATACAGGCAGTTTATATATGCAACAGATTATTGAACTGTGGTCCTTTGAGCATTCTAGTTTATATGCAGTGTGCTTCTGAATTTAAATGCTCATTTTAAAAAGTAGATTATAGGCTGTAAGAAGGCTGTTAGACTTTGTTTAATCGGGATGCAAGACACATACACTGAGTGTCGTGGGAAAATTCTTGTCTGTACAAAAAAAAGTTTCTGAATGAAGTGAATAGATCACATTGAATTTTTGTGTTGTAAAATACTCAGAACATCAGCACATTTTTAAAATCATCTCCAAGTGATTTTTTTTGCTTAAAAAAGCAGCTGTGATAATGGGTATAAAAACTCTTAAACTACTGGATTTTCAGCGTCGCTTCCTTCAGGTATTTCTGAGGCTTACTCATTGCCTGGAAATCATTTCAAGATCAATCACTGAGTTTTATCCTTTACAATCAATTGGGGGCCTGCCCCTTAGCTCAGTTTCTTAAGTGGCTGCTTCAACAAAGCAGTCAGGCTTAGGTTGCTGTGGTTCAATCCCCATGACTCAAACCAGCCAATCCTGCGCTGAAGGCATTCGGAGCAAAAAAAAAAACCAAAACCAAAACCAAACCAAACCAAAACAAAACTCCTTAGGGGCCCGAGATGGCTCAGTAGACTAAGCACTTCCCTGGCAGGCGCAAGGGCCTGAGTTCAATCCCCGGTTCCGGAAAAAAAAAAAAAAAATCAGTTGCATGTAAAAGGCTTCAGTGAACTTTTCCAGGTCTTATAAATTGATACGAGACTGTCAAGAGATCAGAAATACATCTTTTCTTATTTTTTTATTTTAACATTTATTGTGTGTGTGTGGCCAGCTCAGCCCACCAGGGGG